TAAACTTTTAGAAAAACAACAACACTACTTATCAATCATTTTCTTGAGGGCAGTTTTTAATGCTCCCACAATAGTCCGCTGTCATGTGAGCATTCCAGTGACCCTGGTAACCTTCCTCCATAGTTCGAATGTCTTGATGGAACCGTTCCCCTTGTTCTTCACTCTGATTGCCAAGATTTTCAGGGAAACGGTCCAAATGGCTGTGAAAGAAGTGTACCTTGATGCTTACATTACAACCAATTTGCTGGAAGTGTGACAACATCAGTTCAATATGCATAGCTTTGATCCCTTTTGTTTCCCAGAAATTTTTGTGCAGTGCAAAATATCAGTCATGTAACTATTAAAGTTTCAACCTTTATCAAACTTCTTATTAGACCAAGGTCTCTGAGTAATGGACTTAGGTCTTCTTGATTAAAGGGTTAGGGCTCAGGAGAAATATCTGGATTAAAATCTGTCCCACTTTCATCACTTGAAGAACAGCTTATTTTCTTCCAACTCGTGATCATTTTGTGTAGATGAAAAAGCTGGCGCATTGCCGGAGTACAGGACTAGGCGAGTAACAGATAACAAGTTAGGGTAAAACCATTTCGACCGGTTTCTTTTATTAATCATGTTTATATCAACCACACAAAAATAACAATTATCCTGATGATGGTTATTTCTAGGTTCTCGCCACAGCATTGGTGTTTGATACTTACAATGGGTTTTTTTTTAATTCGAGATTATGTCTCAAACACTCCACACATGTTTTACATACCATATGAGGGACCCAGTACTTGAAAAAATGGGGTAGATTTGAAATCAGCGACCTCAAATTATTAAACAACAGGTATAAAATTCCATGCAACAAAAAAAAGTATGTGTATGTATTCCCTTGTTATTATTACGCTAGCGCCAGACTCGCGAAAGGTCTAAATGGTCAGTTTGATTGATTTTTATGTCATTTATCTTTATCTATGACCAAATTTCAGATGTGACTGATCACAGGTGAAATCACAGTATTCAAAACCAATCATTTCATCGAATGAATATGATATAAAAGTAGTAATAATTTCCTTGCCTGGTTAGCTCAAACGGGCCATGCACTTACCATTAAGTGACCCTTCTGCTCGTTTGTCCCATATACCATAAAATAATATTTCTAATATTAGCAATTCACAAAAAAAGGAAAAATTTGTAATATTACGCATTATCAGAGCTCAATTTATGCGAGCCTAGCGGATTTGGAATTGAAATTTGATGCTGGCACTGGTTCGTCTTACAGCTGCTAACAGAAAGATGGAAATATAACAACCTCTCTAGATTTAATTATAATATGATAACATTTTCAAAATAATATAAGAAAGGATGGTCACTGGTAGAAAAGATTTAATGGTTGTAATTTTATACGAACGGGGGGTGCTTTTAATGTCATATTTAACAATATTATTGAATCTTTCGTAAAACAAAATACTTTTTTAAAGTAATATTATTTTAAAGTAGAAACTAACTTGTATTAGTATTAATACTACAAATATAACTCTACACTTTACTACTTCGTAATTTTAAACTATAATTCAGTGTAAGTCTCTGTTTAAGTTTTCGATAGCAAGAGTTTCGATAGCAAGGTTTCTAAAATGTTCGGATAAACATACATTCTAAATGCACAGATTTACATAAGCTGTACTAACCTGCATAATCTGATTTCGGTTTCCAATGCTACGCGACCTGGCGATATCTAATCGTACATCGCTGAATTGGTTTAAAAAGAACCCAGTTCCCTCGCCCTATTTCAATTTACCTCAATCTGAAAGAATTTAATTTTTTAAGATACCTAGTATCAGGCAGGCAGCTATACAAAAACCAACTAAAACTCTTTGGTAAAAAGTTACACGTTGCGCTGACACTGGTTGGATGGATGGAATTAATATGAACAACCTAATGGAACAAACGAAGCGACATTATCTATCATTATCATTATATTCCAGATCGAGTAAAATCTCAATTATTCCGTTTGTTTGAGGTGTACTGGGATTGAATTACTGATTGTCTCATGTCACTTATGGATGTGAGCTGCCAAGGTGCTCAACCGAGAACATGTATAAGAAGTTTTAAAAAGGATTTCTGTTTTTCTTAAATCTATAGAATGTTCATTTAAGGATAAGAAATGTGTAAAACATTGCTTTTAGAAGGTTTTTTTTTCAAAAGGTTTTTGTATTTTTTCCGTACAAGAAACTCTAATCTCTTACTTACTTTAACATTCGGTGTGTCATGTATTCGAAAGCATTCAGAACTTATAATAGTAACAAGGTACATACAATGGCAATGTATCTTGTAATTTAGTTAATCAATTAATTTTTAGTATAAATATCTATATTAATCATGTTTATCAATTATTTTATTTAAACATTTACAACAAATTTAAACAAATTGTAACAATTTAAACAAATTATAAACGGTACACTAAGTGGATAAAAGTTGCACGTACATACATATTTTGAGAGTTCATTGTAATGTTATCCATTCTCATTCATATATTCTCAATGGCATCCGCAACACCATCAATCTCCTTACATTACGTCACATTATTTACTAACTTTCCATCAATCAAGAGCAGCTGTTGTACAGCCATTTTGTTTAGGGGCAACAATTTTATGGAAGCGTTAAGACAACCTGTAAAACTTTAAACACACATTTAAAAAGATAATTTTAATATTTTAACAGTAACATTTGATTTAAGCACAGTTGATACCCCATTTATGTAAAAAGCATCTTAAAAATATAAAGGTGAAAAATTTAAAATACATTAGCGCTTTCTCCCTAAAATTATTTTTTATGAAACCGACACACAATTAAGCAGAACAAAAATTTGTTATAGTAATTTTACTCAAGCAAATATACATACACTAACAAAGCTTTTCATTTTTTTTATTCAGAGGGTTGTTAACGAATATCGAATTTACAATTGCCCGTTTAGATTCGATAGTTTTAGACCTTAGTCTTGAAGATTTGGTATTCCTATCTATTCATCAACAGACTTAGAAAGGAGGTTTTAGCCTACTATACCATGCTGGCCAGACGGGTTGGGATAGGGTTTGTTGCAAGCTTTCCTTCTCTTTGCAGTGCTGTTGGTCTTATCACACGGGATGAATGGGGTGGTGACACTACGTATTCTTTATCCGTCAACACACACAATGTATATTAATATAATACAGCTATAAATCGTCCTAACCTTTTCGGCAGATACTCTTATTGGCTTAAGTCCATTGGTACAAATTCGTTGGCAACGTTTCTGCCATTTATAAAAGTTGGCCACTACCGATTGTGACTCATTACAGGAATCGCAGCGCCAGTAATCACGACATTTTTCGCAGTTGTCGCGTCCCAAATGTAGCGCTACAGATATTTTTAAGCTTAAGATATTTCTGGAACTTAAAACTTTAACTTAAATAGGTTTTGTAGATTTTTATAATAAGAGATAAAGAAAATTATACTATATTAAATATACTATCTTGACTAAAACGCACTTAGCAAAATATTTAAAAAAAATCTCTTGCTACTGAATCCCACTGGCTAGTCTCAATACGCAGTCTTGTACAAATACATACATAAGTTTACAAAACCGTTTCACAAACAAAAATGCTTTGTAAAACACGTAAACGAATATACGAGTACGTCTCGGTTATCTCATACAATATGATGATATTTTTTCTGTGGTTGCTCGAAACATCAATGTCGGAGTAAAGCTACATCTCTACGGAACGTCAAGGGATCGACGATTCGAGTCACCCTTCGTTGGATGCGGTCCAGAGGAAGAAGTTAGTACTGAGATGCCACTGCATAGAGATGACGGCAGTGATCCATATGCGGCCGGACTTGCGCGTTATAGAGCTGAAGACGGTGGGCCGAAATTAAACACTGCCTAGATCTGTTCAGCACACCGAGCTTCTTGGAGGCCCATTTGTCTTCACCCTCTCAGTGACTCAGAAACTTGACTTCGCTCGATATGTCGATGCCTAAGATTCTATCCTCGATACCTGCTGAGGCAGTTAGGGAAGTGTAGTATCTTCTTTGCGATGAACGCGCAAACCTGTGTCATTTTGGGTTAAAGTTTTTATAACACCTACCTATGTATATTTGACAAATTTATTAAATCCTATAATAAAAAAAACTACCTACATAGTATGTAAGTTGATAAAGCTAAAAGTTTATGTAATCTCTAGCAGTAGAATTGGTGAATACTATAAATAACGATCGCTGTATTTTTTAATTTTATGCAGGTAACATACCTAACGTTTTAGGTGGGAAGAAAATGTTTCATATTAAAGAACCTGTACTTTTAGTTGCGTCATTTTAAATTAGAAACATGTAATTAAAACAAGTGTTTTTCAAATATTCTTTCATCAATATAGTGTACACACACGTACCAGCACATTAGGTTACATACAACAACTGAAATAGTATATTACTTTAACGTTCAGAAATTAAATATAAAACTACCACTAAATGCAAATCGACGTCATTGTGAATATACTCCCGAGGGAAAGCGCCCTCTTGTAATAAATTAGGTACAGGTGCAGCCACTAGACTCAGTTTCATAAATAATCAGATGAGCTTGGAACTAACAATATCGATTAATGAGAACTACTTACCTCAGCGAATTCATCAACCATGGGGCCCAGGTAATCATGTATTATTATTATTTCTACTCACTTCTACAGTTGGCATACTTTTTAATTTAGAGATACATATTTTTACACACTATTTAAATTAGAGTACCTGAGAATGAGCGGCGCAATACTCCGGCGTTGGTTGTCTGAACGGGCTGTGCACTGGGCACGAGGTCGTGTGCGACGCATGCGGCGCATGTTGTAAATGATGGGCGTGCGCGTGCTGGTGCGCGTGCGCGTGGTGTGCATGGGGGGGATGACGATGCGGGAGCCGTGCTGGTTGAGGCGCGTGGCGCGCACATAAATGAGTTGTGCTGCCATGGTGCTCCGCAAGTGACAGCGTCGAGCAAGATGGTCGCCAATATCCACCCTCCTCCATGTCAGGCCCAGGTGGGCATCGCGCCGCGCCGCAGCACGCGCAGCGCCGGGCGCACGTCAGTGCATGTCGGCGTGCCTCGTGCGGGCACCAATCGTCGCGCTCGCGGCCCGACACCCTTTCCGATCGCCTTTACCTCTCCCGCTAGCGTCTCCGCGGAGCGGACAATCGACCGTCGCGCATCCTCTCATCCGCACAAACAAGCCAGAACTTTTAGCTCCGTCATTCGTACACAGTTATAGTTTCACTTAATTTTTAAACCACACTTATTAATTCAATTGCGATTAGTCCTCTCACCGCTTGTGCATATCAATGCACCACGATATTTTAAGAAAGTTTCACTATACTTCATCACTCGATTCTAGCATTAGGTCTCGCCCTTTCCAAAAACAACTCAGAAATTGTCATTTAAACGAAAACCATACATCGACAATTGTAAACAAAAACTATTTTCCGCTAACTACTCATTTCATAAAGGTACCTTACCTACTAACGACATTCTACGTAGTGGAACAATGGCTTAAGTTTGTCTTTTAGAGGTAAGAATAATCACAAAGATCTGGTCCACTTCGAAGGTAAACAGTATTAGCTAGTCCACTTCTAAGTTTCTTTTTACGAGTATGTGCGGCAACGTTCGACTTCGAACCAAGTATAAGTAAAACGTATAAATGTATAGCTATAGTACAGAAAAATTTCCATTAAAAGAAAATTTTTATAACAAAATAAAATGCTTTTAAAATGATAAGGCTTTTTAATCTAACTCAATGAGAAATAGAGGGCTAGAATTTTACACCATTCAGTTTTGACAATTATGAATTTTTGACAATTCTACAATTCAAAACTTGCACTTATGAACACATGAAATATTAGATTTAAGTCTTTAATAAGATTTACGATCAAAACGTAGAGGTTGATTATGCTGGGAAACTAATTTGAATTACTAAAAGTTGACTTGAAATGTTATGAAAACGAATAAAATGAAAATGTATATCATCTGTGCCTCAATTCTGCAATTCTAATATTGTATCAATAGACTGTCGATGGAATGTCGTCTGCATAGTTTTGCACTTTTCGTATTCTACTAACTATGCAAGACCAATGGCTTCCTGGTGACTTGTCACTGAACTGTCACTGATACAAATGTCGTCGATGTCTTAGTAATAGTTTGGTAAACGGTATATTTTAAATTTGTAAGAAAATTTTATCTATAATTTTCCATGTATGACAATGTTGTTAATATCACCATTGATGACCTATATTACTATTACGACAGTCTATTGACACTGGCTTAGCGTTAACATAAAATAGTAGAATTGAGGCCCTGTTAAGCCTCGCCGATTTAGATTGTATAACCCGAAATTTCATTGTGTTATAATATATGACGTAGCGGCAAATAATATACTACAAATAATAAAACAATATACCACGGAGTTACGAAAATCCCTCAGGTGCTAAACTCACGTGCGGTAAGCCACAGTTTAGGTTTTAGTGGGCAAGTGTACCTGACGAAACCAATTCTATATTTGTTATCACTCCCCAGAGCGCGTACCTTTACAAATTGATTCGAACATGTTCATTTTGAAAGGTTTAATCCATCATTTAGTTGTTTCTCGTTTCATTTTTACAGCTAAAGAATTGTACAGATAAGAAAAAAGGTCCATTAATTAAGTGCTATCGCAAAATCTTAAAATTCTAACGACCTACCCTGAGAAAAAGTCTTAAGTACAATGGGTGCACTAACCCAGCATTAATTTCCCGCGAGACTGCAAGCATAAAATATTCAAGTCGTGCACAGGCGAAATAATTCGTTGGCGGTGCACGTTTTAATTGGGAATAGGAAAAAAATAATGCAACCAGTACATGTAAACTGCATAGCCTGATTTTCTGATGAACAAAAGTTTATAGCAGAACAAATTAGGTCTATTATTCGCTAACCATAAAAGTCAATCCCATTATTATTGTGTATGCCACTAGTCTCAATGATTGTAATCTGCAACAAAGTTCACTCTGAGCACTCATAAATATTTTAAAGTATACTCTACTGTACCTAGTAGTCCAATTAAGTAATTTGCTATATTCAGAATCTGTTGATACAAAATTCAAACTGAAGTGTCGTTTGAGGCCGTGTAACAGACAGCCTTGACCTGAATGTGGTTCATTAAATTTCAGAGTCTCGCTTATGCCAATTGTTAAATGACAATTAAAGGTAACCTTGGGTGTAATTTATAAAGCAAGCTGTATTTTTTATTGTAATCATATTCGCATGTATGTGAATATTAAAGGCGTTAAAACTGCAACTATTTTTTAATTAAGTTGTTGATACTTGTAAGTGCGTTATGGTATAAAAGGATAAAAGTAAATTAGACTGACAGACATAGGTAATAAGATTAAAATATAAATTATTGCGTCCTATTTCCAAACAACTCAATATATTACATCTCTTTATACATTAAGACACATGATTAGAGATACGATGAGCATGTTTTGCAAATACATAATTATCCATTCAATTTACTTATGGTAAAAAGTTAATAGGTGTTATAATAAAATGGAAAAGTACAAAATTGAAATTCGATTAGTTGTATTTACCTCAAAAATCTGGATAACTGTATATTACCAATGTCTTTATCCAGGAATTAAAGGTCGAAATAACTATCATACTCAAAATAATGCATGTGCAGCAGGTTCCGGACGCTATGTATCCAGGAGAAGGGAATATCTGGAAGAGCCCAGAGAGAAAATGAATACATATTACAAAAGAAGGCAATTATATATTTTATTTTATGGCATTCTTAAAGATCTCATGCTGACGTTAATATTTAATACACTATTTTTGTTAACTAACAGACGTGTACTTAACCTTATACGTCTAGAGAAACAAACATGTTGACAGTCTTGGTCCACTTGTAATGAAATTCAATAGTAGGTAGTCTATTGTTGATTTCCCAAAAGGTTTACCTAATATATCAAACAACAGTAGAGAACACAAAGACCTTATCCAAACTAAGAAGAGTAAACAATCCATGAATATTTGATAAAAGTCAATTGAAATTTACCTTCTCTATAATAAATACCGACAAATTCAATCAAGAATTGCATGACGGCGTGAATATGGATAAATTGAATGAGAATCAGTACCAAAACTTGAAACAAATAGTAAGGTACACAGATTGGTGACTGCAGTCCAGAATTAGGTCAGTGGGTCATCACTTCGTAGTTGCTGTCATACAATGAGATATATCTGCAGAACCGACCGGGTTTTGGATCAGCTGTCGGTTGCCCAATTTCTCTACCGTCAAGATTAGAGACTGAATAAAATCTATAAATCTATAAAATCAATATTTATTGAGGCAACAATCTAATTTGTTGAAAAACATAGCCAATGCTAAATAGAAGATTATAAATATATTACGGTGTACACTAATATGTGTATGTAACACTAGTGTACACTAGTATGTGACTAAACACTATTTTTTGGAATAACCACAGTACCAATACAGTACCAAGCTACTTTAGAGATCTCTAAGGGTTAAGAAAATTAACACACCCAGTTTAATGAAATCTTAATACGCCTTTTGTAGGAGGCTCCTCTGGATCACGATAAGACGCAGAAAACAAAGCAAATGCATATCCAGCGTTTTAGACAGGCTATGACAATACAACAACTAATACATATCTGTAGTGTATGTAGTATTTATGAAATTCGTATCCAATGCACCATAGATTATATATAGGTAACATAGTCTACGAATTGCTTACATACTCGTACTACATACAAATATATTCGGGAGCTTGTCAATAAAACAATAAGTCAAGGAACTAACTGTTTTAATGGCGATCCAATGCACCATAGATTATATAGGTGACATAGTCTACGAATTGCATACATACTAAATACACTACAATATCCTCAATTAAAAAAAATGTACAAAAACAGAGGACCTATAATTGAACAGAAAACATATATAACTTACTATGAGGAAGTTCATCACAACATGAAATTAACTCGTTTCAGTGCGTAATTTAGTTCTTCAATTTCAAGCTAACGGGTTGATAACGTCTCACGTAATAAGAACTTGGTAATTAGAAATCCAACGCGAAGTGAAAGCTTTAGTCCAAACTCAGAGAACATGTAAATTAATTAAAGCACAAAGATATCTAAGATGTTAATTTAAACACAACAATTAAGGCATATACTTAACAGGACAAACTAAAATACTGATATCAATTACAAGTTATAAAAAATAACGAGTCTACAGACAAGTGGTGATACTTATTTTTAACTTTATTTTCTTATTATCTGTGTTGAAACGGAGTGTCACCTTAGGCGGTAAAGAAAATAGGTCATGGTTCAGTAGAACAGTCAGACAAACGTATCATCAACTAGGAAAATAAAAAACGTGAATAGCCAAAGTTTAGACAGATAACGGCCTCAGGACATAGGTCTAACCGAAATACAGAGGTTGGTGAAGCGTGTGATTTCTGGGACTCGATAGGGCCAAATAAAAATACGCAATACAGGTTTTTTAAATGCATAACGCATGTTCATTTTTCGAGGGTGATCAAGTGGCAAACAACGGCCGCCGACGATTTAACACCTTAGAGAATATATCACAAGGATACAAATAAGAACCTGGACCACAGCAGATTTCTGTTAGAATTACTCTCTTAACTTTCTAAAAATCCGGACAATACTCCAAACTACTGACTTGAAGACAATAAGAAAAATGTTTAATACAACGTTTTAAATAAATTTATTTGGGATAGTTTAGTCAATACAGAGTAACTTAAGCAACAAACACAAGTAAAATGTGACCCAGATTTAATGTTCCTTTTTATAAAAAAAATTCTATTTCATACCTAGATGACAAGTTAACATATAACAACAACTGCACAAATATATGTAAATGTTTTCTGTTTCACTAGTTTGTAAAATAATATTAACAGATCAACAAACACATAATATTTGAAATTCATTTACATATACGAGTAATTTAACCATATGAAGCAGAGCTAAAAACTTCAAATTGTGAGTTATGTCACGTCATTGCTTAAAGATTAATGGTCTAGAAATAATAAATTAAAATTTCAGGATGTCTTTTACGAGTAAATGCTGCATATAATTTAAATATATTTTACAATATATTTAAATGGGTTTAAATTACTGGGTCCGTTTGATGTACTAATTTTCGCCTCTAACAGTATCCGTATGAACGGCTTTTTTTACAGAATTTCTATACAG